GTTGGGTGTAGAGATTACTTAAAAAGAAAACTCTTTTAGGGCGCCTGGGTGGCTCAGTTGGTTAAGCAACTGCCTTCGGCTCAGGTCATGATCCTGGAGTCCCGGGATCGAGTCCCACATCGGGCTCCCTGCTCGGCAGGGAGTCTGCTTCTCCCTCTGACCCTCCTCCCTCTCATGCTCTCTCTGTCTCATTCTTTCTCTCTCAAATAAATAAATAAAATCTTTAAAAAAAAAAAAGAAAAATCTTTTTTAAAATCTTTTTTTAAAAAATCAATTAAGGGCGCCTGGGTGGTTCAGTGGGTTAAGCGACTGCCTTCGGCTCAGGTCATGATCCTGGAGTCCCGGGATCGAGTCCCGCATCGGGCTCCCTGCTCGGCAGGGAGTCTGACCCTCCCGACCCTCCCCCCTCTCATGCTCTCTCTCTGTCTCTCTCTCTCAAATAAATAAATAAAATCTTAAAAATAAAAATAAAAAATAAAAAAATCAATTAAATAAGTAAATATAGGAACATCGGACATGCCCAGCTGCATCTCCCAGATACTAAGCGCGTCACAGCTAAGGTGCTTAATGGAGCTGAGGCGGGACGTGCCAGTGACCTGCAAAGTCCCAGTGGGCACTGCGTTTGGCTTTGGAACGCTGGAGACGTAGCGGTAGTTCCATAATGCTGCCATTGCTCAAAACATTTGACCCAATTTAGCAACCACACAGGAAAATTAGTTGTACTACACTGTAATCACACTTCGCTCTTGACCCAACCCAGTCCCATCCACCTAATTAACCAGCTTTACTTCTGAAAGAATCACAAACTATTTGGAACTGGTAACAGCCTTCGAGAACGCATGCCTGATCCATGTTACAAATGAGGAAACGGAGGCTCAGACAGGATCCAAGGTCACGGCTAATCCCATTGACTCCTCCCCGGCCAGTGCTCCTTTCAAGGTTCTGTCCTGGGAACCCTGGAGTATATTCCAGGCCTTTTGGTTATTTGCAAAATATTCAAGACAGGAAGATTTGTGCTTCCCCAAGAGAAAAAAAAAAAAAGAATTTTTTAATGTATGGGTGACATTGAGAGCCATTTCAAAGGAGAAGAAACAAAATATTCTTAACAAAATTTTCATAGCAGCACCTCCCAAACATAAGTGTTTGTTTATTTTTTTTTTTTTAAAGATTTTATTTATTTGAGAGAGAGAGAGAGCACATGAGAAGGGGGAGGGTCAGAGGGAGAGGCAGACTCCCCGCTGAGCAGGGAGCCCGATGCGGGACTTGATCCTGGGACTCCAGGATCATGACTTGAGCCGAAGGCAGTCGCTTAACCAACTGAGCCACCCAGGCGCCCCATAAGTGTTTGTTTAAAACAAAAATTGTCATATTATTTTATGATCACACCTTAAATACATCCCACATCATGGGGGCTATTTTAAGAAATCTCAATATACTGGGCGCCTGGGTGGCTCAGTCGGTTAAGCGTCTGCCTTCAGCTCAGATATGATCCCAGGGTCCTGGGATCGAGCCCCACATGGGGCTCCCTGCTCAGTGGGGAGTCTGTTTCTCCATCTGTACCCCCTCCACGTGCACACACACTCTCTCTCTGTCTGTCTGAAATAAATAAAACCTTAAAAAAAAAGAAGAAGCAAAAGAAATCTCAATATACAGAAATTCAAACTTGCCTGGCAGAAAAACAAGAAGATTAGCGTATTGTCCTCTTTATTCTCTACCTGCATCTCCACCTTCAGAGTCCTTCTCCATGCTCCTGGAGGGTGCTCCCTTCACTGGAAACACCTAGACTCCCTTGCCCTCCAGGGAGAGGCACCAGCGGGAGGAAAGATCACTTCTTCCTGTTTCGCCACGGCTGGCAGTTTCTGGCAGATGCTGTGGTCCTTCGTGGCTACAGCTCCGGCCGGCAGTCCCTGCCCTGCCTCCAGCTCACGCAGGATGCCAGGAACACCATTTCCTCCCCGGGCCCCTGGGTGGTACCAGCTTCCCGCTGTCCCTGTTCCCATCCCCCCTCGCTGGCTCCGCTGTCCCCACCCACTCCTCCTTGGACAGTACCTTTTTCAAAGCCTCTGTGCTTGAACTATCTTCCAGTGGGATTTTGTTTCCTCTAGGGACCCTGACAGATTTAGAAATGAGTTTGTGTGAATGAAAAATATTTACTGCCATCTGTGAGCGCATGGTGCTTTTCAAAGTCACTCCATTTTTGAAATGTCCCTTAACCACACCACTTCCCACACACGGTCGCGCTGCCAAAGGCAGGGTACGAGGTGAGGCTACAGTCGGGCCCTCGGACAGGACAGCTCGTGCAACTCCGAGGAAGGACCTGCGGGAGCCCAGCCCAGCCCCTTCCCAGTCTCCTGATGCTACTCCCGCGCGAGACCTCAAAGTGTAAGTAACCTCTCGCATCTGGGCCCGGCAGGACTTTGGGGAATAACGCAGAGCCCCCTCATCAGGGACAGAGGGAGGATTCGGGATTGGGCTCTGAGCTCTGGAAGAGTGAAAGAAGCACTGGGAGGGCGCCCGGAGAGGTTAGCACGGAAGGCAGCTGCGTGCAGGTGTGCGCGTCGGCGGGCACGTGCGTGCTCTCGCTCTTGAGTGTGCGTGGAGGGGTGTGCACCTGCCTCTCTAGCACCCCACACCCACCCTCGTGCTCCCAGTAAACAGACCTATGGCTGGGATATGGATGCCACCCCCTTGAACGTGGTGTCCTTGCACAGTTGACAACCCAAATACCCGGGCAGACTCTGGCCCTATGGACACATGTCCCCATTTTATGGGGGGAAGAAGCGAAGGCTCAAAGGGGTTAAGTGTCTTGCCTAATTCACAAGAGGAATGACGGTAGGTCGGTCATTTTAAGAAAAGCAGGAGGGGGGCGCCTGGGTGGCTCAGTTGGTTAAGCAACTGACTTCGGCTCAGGTCATGATCCTGGAGTCCCGGGATCGAGTCCCACATCGGGCTCCCTGCTCCGCAGGGAGTCTGCTTCTCCCTCTGACCCTCCTCCCTCTCATGCTCTCTGTCTCTCATTCTGTCTCAAATAAATAAATAAAATCTTAAAAAAAAAAAAAAAGAAAAATCTTTTAAAAAATATTTTTAGGGGGGCGCCTGGGTGGCTCAGTCGTTAAGCGTCTGCCTTCGGCTCAGGTCATGATCCCAAGGTCCTGGGATCGAGCCCCGCATCGGGCTCCCTGCTCAGCGGGAGGCCTGCTTCTCCCTCTCCCACCTCCCCTGCTTGTGTTCCCTCTCTCGCTGTGTCTCTCTCTGTCAAATAAATAAATAAAATCTTTAAAAAAAATAAAATAAAATAAAATATTTTTTTAAAAAATCAATTAAGGGCGCCTGGGTGGCTCAGTTGGTTAAGCGACTGCCTTCGGCTCAGGTCATGATCCTGGAGTCCCGGGATCGAGTCCCGCATCGGGCTCCCTGCTCGGCAGGGAGTCTGCTTCTCCCTCTGACCCTCCCCCCTCTCACGCTCTCTCTGTCTCATTCTTTCTTTCTCAAATAAATAAATAAAATCTTTAAAAAAAAAAAAAGAAAGAAAAATCTTTTTAAAAATATTTTTTAAAAAAATCAATTAAGGGCGCCTGGGTGGCTCAGTTGGTTAAGCAACTGCCTTCGGCTCAGGTCATGATCCTGGAGTCCCAGGATGAGTTCCGCATCGGGCTCCCTGCTCAGCGGGGAGTCTGCTTCTCCCTCTGACCCTCCCCCGTCTCATGCTCTCTCTATCTCATTCTCTCTCTCAAATAAATAAATAAAATCTTAAAAAAAAAAAAGAAAGAAAAGCAGCAGGGTTTCCAGCACCTCCCTTGTTCCCTCTTTCCAAAACCAAGAGCCACTCCTGAGTTCCAGAGCCCCCAGGGACGCTGGCTCCGCTGGCTGAGGTGAGAATGGATGAAGCTGACAGTCAATGTGAAAGCCAAGCCAGGGCAGGTGGAGCGCCCCCTGGGCAGACCCCATTGCCATGTGCCCAAACCCGCTGACAAGCTGACACTGGACCGGATGAGATGGGGTGGAAGCTGTTATCTGTGGGCTGGGGTGATCTGGGCTGCTGGGAGAGGTGCAGAGCCGTCTCCACGGGCAGGAAGGCCAGGAAGGCGGCAGCTCTGGGGAGCGGTGAGGGGAGGAGCTTGCTCCAATTGTTTTTGGTATAAGAAAGCAAGGCCCTCGGCTCAGCAATGACCAACGTTAGAAGCCAGTTTCTAGAAGCCTCCCCCAGCCCCACCACCACCATGTATTGTCTGCAGAGCTGGAAATCAAAAGAGGACTCTGGTCACAAGAGGTTTTTCATAAATTCAGTAGGACTAGCAGGAACCCTAAAGACCTCTATTACAAGATCAGCACCCCTATTTCAAAGACGAGAAACCTGAGGCCCAGACAGGGCAGGTAACTTGAGCCACCCAGCAACCCCGCAGCCAAGTCAGAAATAGACGGCATGCCTGTAACTCAGAGCCAGATCGAGCTCTTTCTACCACTCCAGCAGGTCTTGTTTTCCATTCATATCTGTATCCTCTGACCCATTCAGAACCATTTCTGAATTGTGTATTCCTATCGGAGGATGCAAAGTTGGTGGGTGGGTCCTGCGGCCCGGGCTGCCAGGGTGCCAAGCCTCTCTTTTTTTTTTTTTTTTAATTCATTTGAGACACAGAGATACGGCGAGAGAGAGAGAGAGAGAGAGCATGAGCAGGGAGAGAGGCAGAGAGAGAGGGAGAAGCAGGCTCCCCGCTGAGCAGGAAGCCCGATGCGGGGCTCGATTCCGGAACCCTGGGATCATGACCTGAGCCGAAGGCAGACGCTTAACCATCTGAGCCACCCAGGCGCCCCGCCAAGCCTCTCTTGATTTCTCAGCAATGGTGCAGCCAGCCTCACCGTGAGAATCAGGCCGCAAAGACTCCCCCCCGGCCCGCCCCACCCCCAATTACCCATTAATGAAACCCGCAAATCCACTGGATGGACTGAGTCTCAACTATCAGGGCTGGGTTCACAGACACAGAATGCAGAGACACAAGACATCAGGGTTAATAAACAGCTTTATTTGCCTTTGACAGCATCGATTTTCTTACATTCTCAATTAATTTGCCATTAAAGTGCGGGAAATTTTCTTAATCACGGTAACATTTATTAAAAGAAATCAGAACTAGTCTCAGGAATGTGGCGGCCATGAAGGAAACATTTCTCCCACAATGCACAGAACGTGTTGAGCTGGGGGGACATCGGCCAATTTGCAAACAGATTCTAATTCCGTCTCACCGTGAACACCAAACTGGCTAGGACCGCCACCCCTGGGGGAAAAAAGCAATGCTAAAGAGACCTAAAGACACCCATGCGCCCTGCCTGGCGGCTCCTCTCGGCCCTCCCTGGGTGTTCCCTGTTTGAACAGATCCAATCTTAGGAGAAATGGAGGTCTGGCCCCCTCTACTGCCTTCTACCCCACCCCACCCTTACTAACAAAAGCCCCCAAAGTCATTACAATGAAAAAGTGGGTTTCCATTACCCCGACACTAACAATGTTCAGTAAAAATGAGGATAATAAACACAAAAGCTTGCTTAGTAAACAGGAGCTCTCAGCATTCAATGCAAAAAAAACAAAACAAAACAAAACTGTAATCTCAAGGCAAATACTGTTGGCTCTGCACATGGGCTGGACGAACTTGGAACCCTTAGTTCCTGTATCTGTAAAGCTCCGGGCCGGGGGAACTAAGGCGGCTGGTTGGCTTTTTCAGCACTTGGCACAGGCAGAGGCCAGATCTCTGCATTACGCTGAGGCTGTCGGCGTGTTTCTCTCTGGAGTTTATATACAAACACACCCAAGGCTGGTGTATTTTTATACATATATGTACACACACATAGAGGCCTGCTACTCTTTCTTGGAAACCACCAACTCCACCTCGGGAAGCTGGATGCCAACCTTAGACCCACTGTCATTGCTGGAAGAAGAAGACAGTCGGGACTTCTTAGAGGCCAAGGACACTCCACTTCCCTGTAACTTGCCTGTCTCGTCATCGCTCCCAGTCACCTCATAATGACCTTTGCTCTTTGAACCCAATCCACCAAAGGTACCAAATTTCAGCTTTCCGTGTTTCCCTTTGACTTTCCCGCCTTCCAGTGACACTTCCCCACCTTCAAACTCCAAAGTCCCCGTCGGGGTGGAAGGCGCCGAGAGCTCCCGTTCGTCGCTGAAGGAATTGGAGCGGTGCCGGGGCTTCTTACTTTTAAATAAGGAGAATTTGCCTTTGGGTGATGATGTGTCAGCCTCGGCGTCTCCTTCCAGAGAACCCAGGCTGGCCTTCGAGCTCTTCAGGTCGCCTTTGGACCCTGAAATGGTTGCTTCCGGGGAGCCCGTGACACCACCTTTCCCTTTAGGTTTGGAAAAATTGAACTTGGGCATTTTGATTTTGGACTTCTTAAGTTTTACGTCAGACTCTTCCCACTCTCCCTCTCCGGCCCCAGCCTGGACAGTGGCCTCCGCTTTAGGGAAGTTAATATCTACCCCCACTTCTCTGCCAACCAGCTCACGGCCAGAGAAGGTGAATTTGGGGATCTTCATCTTGGGGAATGTTACTTTTCCAGATCTGCTTTCCAAGTGACCTGGAGACCCAGACATACTCAGCCCAGGACCCTGGAGTCCAACCTGGCCTCCTTTCACACCTCCTTCTACCTTTGGTCCTGAGAAATGAAGTCCCCCAGCAAACTTAGGTGCATCCAAGTTGAGAGTGGAGGAGGCCTGGGGTCCTTTGACGCTCACGTTCCCTTCGCCCAGGCTGACAGCTGGGGCGCTGACACCCCCTGAAACATCCACACCTCCTTTGATTTTCGGGCCCTTCAAGCTGACACCGAAATCTGACTCAGGAGAGGCCACATTAAGTGAAGGCCCCTTGACGTTAATGTCGGGAGCAGCCCCATGGAAACCTATTCCTGAACCTTTCAGATCGCCTTTGATTGCGGGACCAGAAATTTGCCCCGTTGGGAGTTTCACACTCACGCCTGGCAGCTCCACACCATATCCAGAGGACTTAATTCCAGGCATCTGGACGTTTCCTTCGAGGCCTTGAACACTGATGCCCGGAAGACCTCCTCCAACAGTGGGGCCTTTCATTTCACCAGTGGCCCCGAGGCTCCCTTTTATTTTTGGTCCTTCCAAGTTCAGGTCCATGTCTGGTGCTGAGATTTGAGGGTCAGAGATCTGAGGCCCTTTCAGGTTCAGGCCTCCGAGGTTCACACCGATGCCTGGGGCCTGTAGTTCTCCAGTCACTTGTGGCCCTTGGACGTTCATGTCCAAGTCGGACCCTGAAGTCGAGATGCCAAACTGGGGCAGCTTCATTTGGGGAAGTTTAATGCCACCTTCAGGGGCCTCCAAGCTTAGATCAGGAGCACCTACTGATACTTTAGGGCATTTGATGTCACCAGAGACAGCCAGGTCTCCCTGCAGGCTTGGTCCCTTCAGGGTCACATCTGGGGTGCCCAGGTTTAGCGTGGCGTCGATCCCAGGCACTTTCACACTGTCTCCTTCCATCCTCACCTTTCCACCTTGACCTCTGAGGTCAAGCCCTGGGGAGTGCACCTTCACACCGGGAACAGAGGCATCCAGGTCTCCCTTCAAACTTGGTCCTTTCAAGTTCAGGTCAAGGTCAGGTCCAGAGGCTTTTGGCATAGAGAGGTTCACTGAAGGCAAGTCTACTCTTGGCCCTTTCAGAGACACATCCGGCCCTTCAAGCTTAACATCAGGTGCATTCAAGCCTCCTCCGAGAGAGGGCAGCTGGGCATGGACCTCAGCTCCTACCCCTTCCATCTTCACACCAGGGACGCTGATCTTGGGCATTGAAAACTTGGGGAATTTGATCTTTGATTCTGGACCTTGCAGATCTACGTCTGGTCCTTCCAGTCCCACAATGGGGACATCACCCTTTATCTTTGGTCCTTTCAAGCTAACGTTCACATCGGGGATGGAGACCTGAGGGCCAGAAATGCCGAACGACGGGGCTTTGACTTTAGCATCTGGGCCTTCAATGTTGATGTCAGGTGCGTCCAAGTTCGCCTGCACCCTGGGGCCTTTCAAGTCACCCTCTATTTTTCCCCCTGAGACATCCATACCGGGCAGCTTGATCTTGGGAGCCTTCAGCTTGATATCGGGACCTTCCACATGAATCCCAGGAGAAGAAATATCCACATCAGGTGCCTGGATTTCACCCTCCAGTTTGGGGCTAGGGAGGGGGGCCTCAGCTTTGAATTTAGGTGATTTAATGTCAAATTCTACATCTGGAAAGTACATTTTCCCAAACATAGGTTTCTTGGTTTTGGGGGATTTCACATCAGCTTTAAGTGTGGCGTCTGGCCCGGCAACATTGACATCTACATCAGGAGGCTTAAGACTGGCATCAATTTCGTTCCCAGGAACATTCAAGTCAAATCCCTGTTTTTTGGCCTTCATTTTAGGGCCACTCATGTGAATTCTTGGCATTTTAAACTTACTCTTCTTGCCCTTGCCACCAACACTAATTTCAGGAGTCTCAACATTCAGCTCTGCCTCAGGAATGGTCACATCCAGGGAAGGTGACTTAAAGTCAGCTTTAGGGCTTTTTGCCCCAAAACCAAACTTGGGTTTCCTAAATTTGGGAATTTTAATGTCTGGCCCCTCAATATTAATATCTGGGCTCTCTGTGTGTACATCTAAGCTTGGAGCTTCTAAATCAACTTTGGGCCCTTTGAGGTCCAGTTCAGCACCTTCCAACTTGGGACCAGAAACCCCAATTTTGGGTGCCTTGAAATGCAAATCAACATCAGGAACAGTTACTTTAGGGGTAGATATATCCAGCGATGGCATCTTCAAATTTGGGCCACTGAACCTGGCATCCGGGCCTTCAAAATCCAGACCTGAACCTTTAAGGTCTACTTCTGGGCCTTTGAAAGTACCTTCAATCTTAGGGACGGACACATCAAAATCTCCTTTGACTTTGGATCCTTTCAAATCCAGGTCAACATCAGGCATGGAGATTTTGGGAGCTTTGATGTTTATCTCTGGCATCTTGAACTTGGGACCCTTCAATTTCGCGTCTGGACCTTCAATAGTCACATCCGGGGCATCAATGTCCACTTTGGGGCCAGAAATATCAATGTCAGCCTTTGGCAGGTTCACATCCACTTCTGGGCCCTCACCTTTGAAGCCAGGCATGCTGAACTTGGGCATTTTCACCTTGGGCATTTTCAGGTGCCAATCTGGACCATGAACATCCACATCAGGGGCATCAATGTCCATTTTGGGCCCCCTGATGTCAATTTCGGGGCCCTTGAGGTCACCTTCCACTTTAGGCAAAGACACATCCACATCACCCTTTACCTTGGGACCTTTCAGGTTAAAGTCAATATCAGGCATGGAAATCTTAGGAGCTTTGATGTTCATCTCTGGCATCTTGAACTTGGGGCCCTTCAGTTTTGCATCTGGACCTTCAATATTCATATCTGGAACATCAATGTCCACCTTGGGTCCTGAGACATCAATGTCAGCCTTGGGTAGGTTCACATCCACTTCTGGGCCCTCTCCTTTGAAGCCAGGCATGCTGAACTTGGGCATTTTCACCTTGGGCATCTTCAGGTGCCAGTCTGGGCCATGAACATCCACATCTGGGACGTCGATGTCCACTCTGGGGCCCTTGATGTCAACTTCTGGGGCCTTTAGGTCACCTTCCACTTTGGGCAGAGACACATCCACATCACCCTTTACCTTGGGACCCTTCAGATTCAGGTCCACTTCAGGCATAGGGATCTTGGGTGTCTTGAGGTGCAGGTCAGGCATTTTAAACTTGGGACCCTTCAGTTTCCCTTCTGGGCCATGAATGTCAACATCAGGCATGTCTATGTCCAGATTAGGCCCTTTAACATCCACTTTGGGGCCTTTCAGATCTCCTTCCAGTTTAGGAATGGAAATATCCAAATCTCCCTTTATCTTAGGTCCTTTCAAGTTCAAATCAATGTCGCTCATGGAGATTTGTGGGGTTTTGAAATGGACATCAGGCATCTTAAATTTGGGACCTTTGAGTTTCCCTTCAGGACCTTCAATGTCCACCTCTGGCCCTTTTAGATCACCTTCCACCTTAGGTAATGAAAGGTCCACATCACCCTTTACTTTTGGTCCTTTCAAATTTAAATCAAAGTCAGGCATGGAGATCTTGGGGGCTTTAATATGCATCTCTGGCATCTTAAATTTGGGGCCCTTCAATTTTCCTTCTGGACCTTCAATATTGATATCAGGAGTGTCGACGTCCAATTTGGGGCCCTTGATGTCAATTTCAGGGCCCTTGAGGTCACCTTCCACCTTGGGCAAAGAAACATCCACATCACCCTTCACTTTGGGGCCCTTCAGGTTAAAGTCAAGGTCAGGCATGGAGATTTGGGGAGCTTTGATGTTCATCTCTGGCATTTTGAACTTGGGGCCCTTCAATTTTGCATCTGGACCTTCAATATTCATATCTGGGGCATCAATGTCCACTTTGGGGCCAGAAATATCAATGTCAGCCTTTGGCAGGTTCACATCCACTTCTGGGCCCTCTCCTTTGAAGCCAGGCATGCTGAACTTGGGCATTTTCACCTTGGGCATTTTCAGGTGCCAATCTGGACCATGAACATCCACATCAGGGGCATCAATGTCCATTTTGGGCCCCCTGATGTCAATTTCGGGGCCCTTGAGGTCACCTTCCACTTTGGGCAAAGACACATCCACATCACCCTTTACCTTGGGACCTTTCAGGTTAAAGTCAATATCAGGCATGGAAATCTTAGGAGCTTTGATGTTCATCTCTGGCATCTTGAACTTGGGGCCCTTCAGTTTTGCATCTGGACCTTCAATATTCACATCTGGAACATCAATGTCCACCTTGGGTCCTGAGACATCAATGTCAGCCTTGGGCAGGTTCACATCCACTTCTGGGCCTTCTCCTTTGAAGCCAGGCATGCTGAACTTGGGCATTTTCACCTTGGGCATCTTCAGGTGCCAGTCTGGGCCATGAACATCCACATCTGGGACGTCAATGTCCACTCTGGGGCCCTTGATGTCAACTTCAGGGGCCTTTAGGTCACCTTCCACTTCGGGCAGAGACACATCCACATCACCCTTTACCTTGGGACCCTTCAGATTCAGGTCCACTTCAGGCATGGAGATCTTGGGTGTCTTGAGGTGCAGATCAGGCATTTTAAACTTGGGACCCTTCAGTTTCCCTTCTGGGCCATGAATGTCAACATCAGGAGCGTCTATGTCCACCTTGGGTCCTGAGATGTCAATGTCAGCTTTGGGCAGGTTCACATCCACATCAGGGCCCTCGCTTTTGAAGCCAGGCATGCTGAACTTGGGCATTTTCACCTTGGGCATCTTCAGGTGCCAGTCTGGACCATGAACGTCCACATCGGGGACATCAATGTCCACTTTGGGCCCTTTGATGTCAACTTCAGGGGCCTTTAGGTCACCTTCCACCTTAGGCAGAGAAACATCCACATCTCCTTTCATCTTAGGACCTTTCAGGTGCAAATCAAAGTCAGGCATGGAGATCTTGGGGGCTTTGATGTTCATCTCAGGCATCTTGAACTTGGGGCCCTTCAGTTTTGCATCTGGACCTTCGATATTCACATCTGGAACATCAATGTCCACCTTGGGTCCTGAGACATCAATGTCAGCTTTGGGCAGGTTCACGTCCACTTCTGGGCCCTCTCCTTTGAAGCCAGGCATGCTGATCTTGGGCATTTTTATTTTGGGCATTTTCAGGTGCCAGTCTGGGCCATGGACATCCACATCTGGGACATCAACTTCCACCTTGGGGCCCTTGATGTCAACTTCAGGGCCTTTTAGGTCACCTTCCACTTTAGGCAGGGAAACATCCACATCACCCTTTACCTTGGGGCCTTTCAGGTGCAGATCAAAGTCAGGCATGGAGATCTTGGGGGCTTTGATGTTCATCTCAGGCATCTTGAACTTAGGACCTTTCAACTTTCCCTCAGGACCCTCAATGTTAACATCAGGGCCTTCAATGTCCACCTTGGGTCCTGAGACATCAATGTCAGCTTTGGGCAGGTTTACGTCCACTTCTGGGCCCTCTCCTTTGAAGCCAGGCATGCCGAACTTGGGCATTTTCATCTTGGGCATCTTCAGGTGCCAGTCTGGTCCATGAACATCCACATCAGGGGCATCAATGCCCACTTTGGGACCTTTGAGGTCCACTTCAGGGCCTTTCAGATCCCCTTCAAACTTGGGAAGGGAAACATCCACATTGCCCTTCACCTTGGGGCCCTTCAGGTTTAAATCAGTATCAGGCATGGAAATCTTAGGAGTCTTTAGGTGCATCTCTGGCATCTTGAATTTGGGCCCCTTCAGTTTCCCCTCTGGGCCTTCAATGTTAATATCAGGAGTGTCGATGTCCACTTTGGGGCCCTTTATGTCCACCTCAGGGCCCTTTAGGTCACCTTCTACTTTTGGCAAAGACATATCCACATCACCTTTTATTTGGGGGCCCTTCAAGTTCAGATCAAGGTCAGGCATGGAGATTTTGGGGGCTTTGATGTTCATCTCAGGCATCTTGAACTTGGGGCCCTTCAGTTTTGCATCTGGACCTTCAATACTCACATCTGGGGCATCAATGTCCACTTTGGGGCCAGAAATATCAATGTCAGCTTTAGGGATGGTAACATCCACATTTGGGCCTTCACCTTTGAAGCCAGGCATGCTGAACTTGGGCATTTTCATCTTGGGCATTTTCAGGTGCCAGTCTGGGCCATGAACATCCACACCAGGGGCATCAATGTCCACTTTGGGCCCTTTGATATCAATCTCTGGCCCTTTCAGATCCCCTTCAACTTTGGGCAGAGAAACATCCATATCACCTTTCACCTTGGGGCCCTTCAGGTCTAAATCAATGTCAGGCATGGAGATCTTGGGAGTTTTGATATTCATGTCAGGCATCTTGAGTTTGGGACCTTTTAAGCCTCCTTCTGCACCTTCCACATTGATTTCTGGACCCTCAATGTCCACTCTGGGGCCCTCTATGTTGATATCTCCTTTTGGCAGATCCACAGCCATTTCCGGCCCTTCCGCTTTTAAGCCGGGCACACCAAACTTGGGCATTTTCATTTTGGGCATTTTCAAATTCCAATCTGGACCATGAACATCCACATCAGGTGCATCAAGATGAACTTCTGGTCCTTTAATATCTACTTTGGGTCCTTTAAAGTCACCTTCTAAATTAGGAGCTGTAACATCTAAGTCTCCTTTAACTTTAGGACCTTTCAGATTTAACTCCACATCAGGCATAGAAACTTTAGGAGATGAAATACTCAGGAAAGGCATTTTGAACTTGGATCCTTTCACTTTCCCTTGAACCTCAACATCAGGAGCATTAATATCAACTTTTGGACCTGTCACATCAATATCTGGCTTTTTAACTTTGACATCCACCTCAGGTGTCGGAACTTTGGAGCCTGAAAAGTTAAATTTAGGAAGCTTAAAACGTGATTTCTTTGACTTGCCTTCAAGATTGACCTTAGGACCAGAAATGTCCACTTCTGGACCCTTTACATCCAACTTGGGAGCTTTAATGTCACCTTCCAATTTGGGCCCAGAAACATCAACATCTCCTTTAAGTTTTGTCCCTTTCAAATTCAGGTCAATTTCTGGCATGGAGATCTTGGGCATGTTTACATGCATGTCTGGCATCTTCAGTTTGGGACCTTTCAATTTGCCTTCAGGGCCATGAATGTCAATATCTGGAGCATCTACATCTATCTTTGGACCCTTGATGTCAAGAGTAGGCCCTTTCACATCACCTTCTACATTTGGAAGGGAAACATCCACCTCTCCTTTCATCTTAGGGCCTTTAAGGTTAAGGTCCAAATCTGGCATGGATATCTTCGGAGCTTTGATGTTCATCTCTGGCATCTTGAACTTGGGGCCCTTCAGTTTTGCATCTGGACCTTCAATATTCACATCTGGAACATCAATGTCCACCTTGGGTCCTGAGACATCAATGTCAGCCTTGGGCAGGTTCACATCCACTTCTGGGCCCTCTCCTTTGAAGCCAGGCATGCTGATCTTGGGCATTTTTATCTTGGGCATCTTCAGGTGCCAATCTGGGCCATGAACATCCACATCTGGAACATCAACATCCACTTTGGGGCCCTTGATGTCAACTTCAGGAACTTTAATCTCACCTTCCACTTTTGGTAAAGACACATCCACATCACCCTTCAGTTTGGGGCCCTTCAGGTTAAGATCAATGTCTGGCATGGAGATCTTGGGGGCTTTGATGTTCATCTCAGGCATCTTGAACTTAGGACCTTTCAACTTTCCCTCAGGACCCTCAATGTTAACATCAGGGCCTTCAATGTCCACCTTGGGTCCTGAGACATCAAAATCAGCCTTGGGTAGGTTCACATCCACTTCTGGGCCCTCTCCTTTGAAGCCAGGCATGCCGAACTTGGGCATTTTCATCTTGGGCATCTTCAGGTGCCAGTCTGGGCCATGGACATCCACATCTGGGACATCAACATCCACCTTGGGGCCCTCGATGTCAACTTCAGGGGCCTTTAGGTCACCTTCCACTTTGGGCAGAGACACATCCACATCACCCTTTACCTTGGGGCCTTTCAGGTGCAAATCAAAGTCAGGCATGGAGATCTTGGGGGCTTTGATGTTCATCTCAGGCATCTTGAACTTAGGACCTTTCAACTTTCCCTCAGGACCCTCAATGTTAACATCAGGGCCTTCAATGTCCACCTTAGGTCCAGTCACATCAATGTCAGCCTTGGGCAGGTTCACGTCCACTTCTGGGCCTTCTCCTTTGAAGCCTGGCATGCTGAACTTGGGCATTTTCATCTTGGGCATTTTCAGGTGCCAGTCTGGGCCCTGAGCATCAACATCTGGGACATCAATGTCCACTTTGGGGCCTCTGAGGTCGACTTCAGGGCCTTTCAGGTCTCCCTCTAGCTTGGGACCTGTGACATCCACATCTCCTTTTATTTTTGGACCTGTTAGATTAAGATCAATATCTGGCATAGATATCTTTGGGGTCTTCAAATGCATTTCAGGCATCTTAAACTTTGGACTTTTCCACTTTCCTTCAGGTCCTTCAATATTCACATCAGGACATTCAACATCCACTTTGGGTCCTGACACATCTATGTCAGCCTTGGGCAGGTTCACATCCACTTCTGGGCCCTCTCCTTTGAAGCCAGGCATGCTGAACTTGGGCATTTTCATCTTGGGCATCTTCAGGTGCCAGTCTGGGCCATGAACATCCACATCTGGGACATCAACGTCCACCTTGGGGATTTTGATGTCAACTTCAGGGGCCTTTAGGTCACCTTCCACTTTGGGCAGAGACACATCCACATCACCCTTTACCTTGGGACCTTTCAGGTGCAAATCAAAGTCAGGCATGGAGATCTTGGGGGCTTTGATGTTCATCTCAGGCATCTTGAACTTAGGACCTTTCAACTTTCCCTCAGGACCCTCAATGTTAACATCAGGGCCTTCAATGTCCACCTTGGGTCCTGAGACATCAATGTCAGCTTTGGGCAGGTTCACGTCCACTTCTGGGCCCTCTCCTTTGAAGCCAGGCATGCCGAACTTGGGCATTTTCATCTTGGGCATCTTCAGGTGCCAGTCTGGGCCACGGACATCCACATCTGGGACATCAACATCCACCTTGGGGCCCTCGATGTCAACTTCAGGGGCCTTTAGGTCACCTTCCACTTTGGGCAGAGACACATCCACATCACCCTTTACCTTGGGGCCTTTCAGGTGCAAATCAAAGTCAGGCATGGAGATCTTGGGGGCTTTGATGTTCATCTCAGGCATCTTGAACTTAGGACCTTTCAACTTTCCCTCAGGACCCTCAATGTTAACATCAGGGCCTTCAATGTCCACCTTGGGTCCTGAGATGTCAATGTCAGCCTTGGGCAGGTTCACGTCCACTTCTGGGCCCTCTCCTTTGAAGCCTGGCATGCTGAACTTGGGCATTTTCATCTTGGGCATTTTCAGGTGCCAGTCTGGGCCCTGAGCATCAACATCTGGGACATCAATGTCCCCTTTGGGGGCCTTCAGGTCACCTTCCACCTTAGGCAGGGAAATGTCCACATCACCTTTGACCTTAGGACTTTTCAAGTGTAAATCTACATCTGGCATGGAGATCTTGGGAGTTTTGATGTTCATTTCTGGCATCTTAAATTTAGGCCCCTTGATTTTTCCCTCTGGACCCTCGATGCTCATATCTGGGGCTTCAATGTCAACTTTGGGTCCTGAGACATCAGTGTCAGCCTTGGGAAGATTCACGTCTACCTCTGGACCCTCTGCTTTGAAACCAGGCATGCTGAACTTGGGCATTTTCATTTTGGGCATTTTCAGGTGCCAGTCTGGGCCATGAACATCAGGAGCATTTATGTCTACTTTGGGGCCCTTGATGTTCACATCTGGTACTTTAATTTTACCTTCTACCTCAGGCACAGACACATCAACATCCCCCTTGATTTTTGGTCCTTTCAAATTTAGGTCCACATCAGGCATAGAAATATTTGGGGCTTTGAAATGCATGTCAGGCATCTTGAACTTGGGACCTTTCAATTTGCCCTCTGGTCCTTCGATGTTGATATCTGGCCCACTGATGTCATCTTTGAGGTCTGGCCCTTTGAGGTCACCTTGCAGTTTGGGAACATCAACATCCACCTCTCCCTTTATCTTGGGACTTTTTAAGTGTAGATCAATGTCTGGCATGGATATTTTGGGAGCTTTAAAGTGCATGTCTGGCATCTTAAATTTAGGACTTTTCCATTTGCCATCTGGACCTTCCACAGCTATGTCTGGCATGTCAACATCCAATTTGGGACCTCTGACATCCACTTCTGGACCCTTTAACTCTCCCTCCGGCTTTGGGGCAGAAACATCAAAGTCTCCTTTGATTTTAGGCCCTTTTAAGTTGAAATCAACATCAGGCATGGAGATCTTAGGCGCATGAAAGTGCATTTCAGGCATCTTGAACTTCGGACCTTTCAGTTTACCTTCTGGACCCTCAATGTTCATATCCGGGGCTTCAATGTCCACCTTGGGTCCAGAGATGTCAATGTCAGCCTTGGGTAGGTTCACATCCACATCTGGTCCCTCTCCTTTGAAGCCAGGCATACTGAACTTGGGCATTTTCACCTTGGGCATCTTCAGGTGCCAGTCTGGGCCATGAACATCCACATCTGGGGCATCAATGTCTATTTTGGGGCCTTTAATGTCCACATCTGGCACTTTCATTTCACCTTCTATCTTGGGCACAGACACATCCACATCCCCTTTCACTTTGGGGCCTTTCAAGTGTAAGTCCACATCAGGCATGGAGATCTTGGGGGTCTTGAAGTGCATGTCTGGCATCTTAAACTTAGGGCCTTTCAGCTTTGCATCAGGACATTCCAGATCAACGTCAGGCATCTCCACGTCCACACTGGGCCCTTTCAAATCTCCTTCCAATTTTGGCACAGACACATCCACATCTCCCTTTAGTTTTGGCCCCTTAAGATTCAAGTTCACATCAGGCATGGAGATCTTGGGAGCCTTGAAATGCATCTCAGGCATCTTAAACTTGGGGCCTTTCAGCTTTCCTTCCGGTCCTTCAATGTTGACATCTGGGGCTTCAATGTCCACTGTGGGTCCAGAGATGTCAATGTCAGCCTCGGGCACATTCACATCCACTCCCGGGCCCTCACCTTTGAAGCCAGGCATGCTAAATTTGGGCATTTTCATCTTGGGCATTTTCAAGTTCCAGTCTGGGCCGTGAATGTCCACATCTGGAACATCGACATCCACTTTGGGTCCTTTGATGTCCACATCTGGCACTTTCATTTCACCTTCTATCTTGGGCACCGACACGTCCACATCCCCCTTCACCTTAGGACCTTTCAAGTGTAAGTCCACGTCAGGCATGGAGATCTTGGGGGTCTTGAAGTGCATCTCAGGCATCTTAAATTTAGGGCCTTTCAACTTTGCATCAGGACATTCCAGATCAACATCAGGCATCTCCACATCCACACTGGGACCTTTGATATCAACTTGTGGACCTCTGAGATCACCTTCTAGCTCAGGCACAGAAGCATCAATTTCTCCTTTCACTTTGGGTCCCTTCAAATTCAAGTCCACATCTGGCATGGATATCTTAGGAGCTTTGATATTCAACTTAGGCATCTTAAATTTAGAGCCCTTTAATTTTCCTTCTGGCCCCTCTATATCCAAATCAGGAGCATCAATGTCCACTTTGGGGCCAGACACATTAATGTCAGCCTTGGGCAGGTTCACATCCACTTCTGGGCCCTCACCTTTGAAGCCAGGCATACTGAACTTGGGCATTTTCACCTTGGGCATCTTCAGGTGCCAGTCTGGGCCATGAACATCCACATCTGGGACATCGATGTCTACTTTGGGCCCTTTGATGTCCACATCTGGCACTTTCATTTCACCTTCTATCTTCGGCATAGACACATCTGCATCCCCTTTGACTTTGGGGCCTTTCAAGTGTAAGTCCACATCAGGCATGGAGAGCTTGGGAGTCTTGAAGTGCATGTCTGGCATCTTAAACTTAGGACCTTTCAGCTTCCCTTCTGGACCTTCAGTATCAATATCACCAACATCCACATCCATCTTCGGGGCCTTCATGTCAATTTCAGGACCTTTCAAGTCTCCTTCCACTTTGGGCAGGGAAACATCTACATCAGTTTTCAGCTTAGGGGCTTTTAGATTAAGTCCAACATCAGGCATAGAGATTTTGTGCGTCTGTATATTCATGCTTGGCATCTTGAACTTGGGACCCTTTAGTTTCCCCTCTGGACCTTCAATATTCACATCTGGAACATCAATGTCCACCTTGGGTCCTGAGACATCAATGTCAGCCTTTGGCAGGTTTACATCCACTTCTGGGCCCTCTCCTTTGAAGCCTGGCATGCTGAACTTGGGCATTTTCACTTTGGGCATCTTTAGATGCCAGTCTGGGCCATGAACTCCTACATCTGGTGCATTAATGTCCACTTTGGGACCTTTGATGTCAACATCAGGAGCTTTTATCTCTCCTTCTACTTTTGGAATTGTAACATCATAATCTCCTTTCATTTTAGGACCTTTCAAATGCAAACCAACATCTGGCATGGATATCTTCTGAGGCTTTATATTCATTTCTGGCATCTTAAATTTAGGACCTTTTACTTTTGCATCGGGACCATGGATATTCACATCTGGAACTTCAACATCCACCTTGGGCCCTGAGACATCAATGTTGGCCTTGGGCAAGTTCACATCGACTTCTGGGCCCTCACCTTTGAAGCCAGGCATGCTGAACTTGGGCATTTTCACCTTGGGCATCTTTAGGTGCCAATCTGGGCCATGAACATCCACATCTGGAGCACTGATGTCAACTTTGGGCCCTTTAATGTCCACATCTGGCACTTTTATTTCACCTTCTACATCAGGCACAGACACATCCACATCTCCCTTTAGTTTTGGCCCCTTAAGATTCAAGTTCACATCAGGCATGGAGATCTTGGGAGCCTTGAAGTGCATCTCAGGCATCTTAAACTTGGGGCCTTTCAGCTTTCCTTCCGGTCCTTCAATGTTGACATCTGGGGCTTCAATGTCCACTGTGGGTCCAGAGATGTCAATGTCAGCCTCGGGCACATTCACATCCACTCCCGGGCCCTCACCTTTGAAGCCAGGCATGCTAAATTTGGGCATTTTCATCTTGGGCATTTTCAAGTTCCAGTCTGGGCCGTGAATGTCCACATCTGGGACATCGACATCCACTTTGGGTCCTTTGATGTCCACATCTGGCACTTTCATTTCACCTTCTATCTTGGGCACCGACACGTCCACATCCCCCTTCACCTTAGGACCTTTCAAGTGTAAGTCCACGTCAGGCATGGAGATCTTGGGGGTCTTGAAGTGCATCTCAGGCATCTTAAACTTGGGGCCCTTCAGCTTCCCTTCTGGACCTTCAAGGCTCACATCTGGGGCTTCAATGTCAACTTTGGGTCCAGAGATGTCAGCGTCAGCCTTGGGCAGGTTCACATCCACATCTGGGCCCTCACCTTTCAAGCCGGGCATGCTGAACTTAGGCATTTTCATCTTGGGCATTTTCAGGCTCCAGTCTGCACCTTGGACTTCCACATCTGGTGCTTTAATGTCTACCTTGGGTCCTTTGATGTCCACATCTGGAACTTTCATCTCACCTTCTATTTTTGGTACTGACATATCTAGATTGCCTTTCATTTTGGGTCCTTTAAGATCCAAATCAACATCTGGCAGAGTCATCTTAGGAGCCTTGAAGTGCATCTCAGGCATCTTAAACTTGGGGCCTTTCAACTTTCCTTCTGGTCCTTCAAGGCTCAAATCTGGAGCACCAATATCTACCTTGGGTGCAGAAATGTCCACATCAGCCTTGGGCAGGCTCACATCCACTTCTGGGCCCTCCCCTTTGAGGCTGGGCATGGTAAATTTGGGCATTTTCATCTTGGGCATCTTTAGGTTCCATTCAGGACCATGAACTTCAACATCTGGGGCACTGACATCTACTTTTGGCCCTTTGAGGTCCCCTTCCATCTTTGGCAGCGTAACATCATATTCTCCCTTTACCTTGGGACCTTTCATATGCAAATCCACATCAGGCATAGAGATCTTAGGGGCCTTGATATTCATCTCAGGCATCTTAAACTTGGGACCCTTCAGCTTTCCTTCAGGTCCTTCGATGTTCACATCTGGAACTTCAACGTCCACCGTGGGTCCCGAGATGTCAATGTCAGTCTTGGGCAGGTTCACATCCACTTCTGGGCCCTCTGCTTTGAAGCCTGGCATGCTGAACTTGGGCATTTTCATTCTGGGCATCTTCAGGTGCCAGTCTGGGCCGTGAACATCCACATCTGGAACATCGATATCCACTTTGGCACTTTTAAGTTCAACATCAGGAACTTTAATCTCACCTTCCACTTTAGGCACTGTGACATCGTATTCTCCTTTTACTTTAGGGCCTTTCAAATGTAAGTCCACATCTGGCATGGAGATCTTCGGGGCTTTGATATTCATCTCAGGTATCTTAAACTTAGGTCCTTTCAATTTCCCTTCTGGTCCCTCAATGCTCACATCTGGAGCACTAACATCCACCTTGTGCCCAGAAATGTCCACATCAGCCTTGGGCAGGTTCACATCCACTTCTGGGCCCTCTGCTTTGAACCCTGGCACACTGATTTTGGGCATTTTCATCTTGGGCATCTTCAGATGCCAGTCTGGGCCCTGAACATCCACATCTGGGGCATCAAGGTCCACTTTGGGGCCTTTCAGTTCCCCTTCAAGTTTTGGGACTGTTACATCATACTCTCCTTTTACCTTTGTGCCTTTAACATGCAAATCGACATCAGGTATGGAGATCTTTGGTGTCTTGACACTCACTTCAGGCAGCTTAATGTCAGGGCCTTTAAGTTTGCCTCCCAGACCCCCTATGTTGACATTTGGGGCCTCCACATTGACCTTGGGCCCCAAAATACTGACATCTTTGGGTAGTTTCACATCTACATCTGGGCCTTCCCCTTCAACTCCTGGAGGGCTGAACTTGGGCATTTTCAGGTTCCATTCTGGGCCATGAACTTCCACACCTGGGGCACTGACATCCACTTTGGGGTCTTTGACATCCACTTCAGGGACTTTGGCTTTCCCTTCTACTTTGGGGAGTATGACATCTACACCCCCTTTCACTTTAGGTGCAGCCACATTGAGATCTACATCTGTCATAGAGATCCTGCACGTTCCTGTTTTCCCAGAAGGACTACTAAGCGTGGGTCCCGTCAGGGTCCCCTCAAGGCTAGGTGTCTCTATGTCCACTTTGGAGCCCTTAACTGCCACTTGAGGGCCTTTAACATCACCTTGCACCCCAGGCACTGAAACCTTAATATCTCCCTTCAGTTTAGGGGATCCAAGGCTCAGATCCACATCCTGCATGGAGATTTTAGGTTTCTGTATGCTCATTTCAGGAGTCTTGACTTTCGTACCCTTCACCTTCCCTTCCAGCCCCCCAGCAGCAACTTCAGGCAGGCTGACGTCCCCAGACATCCCAGGAAGAGTCACTTCACCTGTGGGCAGTGCCACATCAATGCCAGCTCCCCCTCCCTTAGAACCTGATACAGAGAATTTGGGAACTTTCACCTTGGGCATACTCAGTTTGCCCCCAGGACCATGAATATCAATGTCAGGGGCTTGAACTTCCACACTGGAGCCGCTGAGAGTGCCCTCGATTTGGGGCCCTGAGATGTCCACCCCTATGCTCCCCTGTGGCTTGGCACCTTTCAGGCCTAGGTTACTCTCAAGGGATGGCCCAGTGATCTGGGGGCCCTTCAGCTTCCCCTCGTACCCCTCAATATTGGCAGAAGGAGCACTGACTTCTAGCTGAGGGGTCTGGATGTTCCCGCCAATGGTCAGGCCTGGCTTGCCACCCTTGTGCTCCACAGAGAATTCAGGTACAGAAACGCTCAGCCCTGCCACGGGTGCCTGGACCTCAGGTGCTGTTGAGACACTGAATTTTGGCACCTTCATAGTGGGAATTTTAATTTTCCCATTACTGCCACTCTCCAGAGACGGGTCCTGCACCTCCACTGCCCCACCCCCAAGAGAAGACGAAATGTCCACTCCTGGAACTTGGACCCCTCTTTTGCCACCCAAGTTCAAGCCTTTTGCACTGACATTGACACCTGGGCTCCCCACCTTTATCCCAGGCACGGTGACCTGGAGCTTCGAGTGGCCAGCACCTTGGAGCTCTAGTCCTGAAGCGGAAACGGACCCCGCTCGGATGTCCACAACTGAGCCTGTGGTAGGAGACACTGCCCCCGGGCCCGAGGGCAGTCTGATCACTGTCTGGCCAGAGTGGGTGTCCACATCCACAGTGGAGATTTCCGTCAGTTCATGCCGTGGAATCTTGATCTTGAACTCTGGGCTGCTGATATCGATCTCCCTGGCTCCTTCGCGGCCTGTCACATCGACAGTGTAGGCCGTGACCCTTCTAGTCACCGTGATGGTGCGGCTCTGGGTCTCCCCAGGATCCCCTTCTAGTCCATCCTCTGACCTCAGCCGAGGCTTGATCTTCGTGGTGTAGATGCGCTGGTAGTCCTCATCATCCCCGCTCTGCAGAAAGACACGGCCAGCCGAGGCTGTAGCAGGGTCTGCCTGAGCCACAGACGCCCGGCCACAGCCCAGCTGCCAGCATGGTTGCCTGTTTCCCAAAGCAGCTGGGACCAGAACGGAGGCCCACGGAGCCTCCTGGGGCGGACCACGGAGGGGGGAAGAAAGGGGCTGACAGCCACATCACAGGAGGAAAACAAATTATTTGGGGAAACTCTGGGAAGCAAAAGCCATGGGGGAGAGATGTGGGGTTGACTCCTGCCTTGCGTGGTCTGGAAGAAGGATTTACAATCAATTCTAGATTCCACTCGTCCTGTCAAGTCCCAGGGATGCCTCCCAGCTCTGCGTGGATTTGACCCTTGGGCTCTCAATTCTCAACTCACTGGCTTGTTTAATGGGGAGCCCTCGGAAAGCATTTGTTGAGACTCTGCCGTGCTTGGGTTAACACTTTCACTTTGAGGACCCATTATTTGTTAAATAAACAAGCCATCAGAAGGAGCAAAGAAATGTCCCCCAGGCACTTTGCTGCCCAGCCTCTGACTCACAGATGAGTCCAGGCCTCTGGAAGGATAAAAACGGTGTCTGGGAGGCAGAGCAGGGCACCTGTGAGACTAGTCTGAAGATTCCTTGCCAAGCAGCTGAGCTTCCTCCTGGCATCTAGGGCCAGACAGCGTGAGTGGGTCCCTACGCTGCGGCACTCTGGAGAGACTGATGGAAGACTTTCAGGGGCAACATCAGCCACACGCCACACACAAATAGGAACACACGGTCTGACTTAACAGAGTGCACAGGGGAGAAAGCAGGAGAAGGAGCTACAGAGAGGCCCAGGAGGCAGACACAAGGCTCAGGAAGTGGCCAGCAGGTCAGTGTGGCTACAGGGAGCTCAGGGCACAGACAGGCCAGTCAGGCACTCACCAGAACCACCTCGGAGCTTCGGGAGCTGAAGATTTCGTGGGCCCACGTCTGGCCAGGCTCAGGGGAGCGGTCCCCCTTGCGATGCAGCTTCAGGCCCACGGTGTGGTGCCCCATGGTGTTCAGCAGCTGGGTCACCTCGCCTGACTGCAGGTTGTCAAAGTAGATGGTGGCACCCACAATCTGGTCCCCTGAGCAGGGCGGAGCAAGAAGCAGGTGAGACCCACGGGGTCTTGGGAAAACAGCACACAACCACCGCATGCTGGACCCTCGAAGTGACTTGCATTCCATGCGTGTCATGACCACCCTACAGGGCAGGTGCGGTAATACCCGTTGCACAGATGAGGAAAGGAAGGCTTAGGGAGGCCCACCGATGCGCCCGAAGTGGCAGAGCTTGTGGGTAGTGAAGTGGGCACTAAGGACAATGTCTCCACCCCCCTATATAACCACTTTCCCCGAGGACTGTGTGGATCGAGGGACACAGAGTGGGCAGGGGAGGGGAGGGCAGGACTTGGGTACCGACCATCCTGATGTCACCGGGACTGGCCCCTCCACGGCCCCTGTGGCCTTCCCTCCGCCGCCCTCAGCCAGCCCAGCCCGGCACCCAGCCCGCACTCTGAGGTGACTCACCCTCTCTGACCACCCCAGTGCGGGCCGCAGGGGAGTTCTGCATCACCTCCTGCACAAAGACGCCATCGTCCCTCTGGGCGATGGTCAGCCCGTGGGAGCCGCTGCCCTGCCAGTTGGGCAGCAGCAGCTCCCGGGTCGTGTCCTCTTCCTTCTCCATCTGGGGTGAGGTAAGGAAACGGGGGCTCAGGACAGTGGGGGCTCGAGGGCATGAGGAGACGAGAAAGCCAAGGATCTCTGGTGCTGTGAACTCGCAGGGAGTGCAGCGTGTCTCAGATGCCTGCTTCTGCTGTGGAAATGGTCCCCATGGAAAGTGGACACTGGCTCATCCCTTCCACCCAGGACCCTGCCTCCCGATGCCACCCACCCTGGGTCCCCCCCTCCCCCGGCCGCCCCTCACCTCCGTCACACCCTCTCTCCCACGGACCTTTTGCAGGACTCAGTTCAGGAGCGGATGCCTTGCCAGGAGCCCGCCCCTCCTTCCTCTCTTCTCAGTCTCTCTCGTCAGGAATCTCGGTCACACAGCCTGGGGAAAAGTGGACAAAGATGCTCAAGCTCAACAGGCGGCTTGCTCAAAACCCCGACTGCAAAAGACGGCTGGCTTGCTCCTGTTCCGTTCTCGGGGCCACACCGAAACTCCAACCCTCCCCTACTTCAGTTCCATTCATACATGACTGTCCAACCTGGGATCGCGGAAAGGGGGCTTAGGGGAGCCAGACCCAGATATAAACCCTGGTATCAACCCTGGCTCTGGGGCCCCTGGGTGGCTCAGTCAGTTAAGCGGATGCCTTCAGCTCGGGTCATGATCCCGGGGTCCTGGGATGGAGTCCTGCATCGGGCTCCCAGCTCAGCGGGGAGCCTGCTTCTCCCTCTGCCTCTGCTCACGAGCTCTCTCTCACTCTCTCTCTCAAATAAATAAATAAAATCTTTAAAAAATAAAAATAAATAAACCCTGGGGCACACCTGGGTGGCTCAGTCGTTAAGTGTCTGCCTTCGGCTCAGGTCATGATCCCAAGGTTCTGGGATAGAGCCCCACATCGGGCTCCCTGCTCGGCAGGAAGCCTGCTTCTCCCTCTCCCACTCCCCCTGCTTGTGTTCCCTCTCTTGCTGTGTCTCTCTGTCAAATAAATAAAATCTTTAAATAAATAAATAAATAAATAAATAAATAAACCCTAGTTCTGCATCCTCCCATCTGTGTGCATGTCCCTGGCCAAGTCACTCAACTTCTCTGAACATCCATCTCCTCCTCTGTGAAAACGGAGCTGACACAGGATCTCCCTGAGGACGGAAGGAGAGAGCGCGTGAGCGTGTGTGGAAAAGCTCAGGCGCACACGAGTCTCACAAAACACCCATTCTCTTTAGGCTCTTTATAACAGCTCCAGGAAGGAGACGTTGCTGTCCCCATTTTACAGATGGAGAGACTGAGAGCTGAGGTCCACCGTGAGCGTGCCACTACCCTTGGGCTCTGAGTCTGCAACTCTCTCCCCTACAGCACATCAGGTCTGCAGCTTTAACCGGCGTGAGATTCCACTTCTCTGTGTCTCCAGCACTGAAGGCGACTGCCTGGCAGACCTGAAAGCAGGAATGGTGGTGCCCTCCCTCCCCTGCTGACAAACAGTGACTCTGAGTCACCTGATCCAACCCGGTCCTTAGGACCAGGGGGACTCTCACCAGCTGGGAGCTCCAGGTGCAGCGGGCTGAACCAAAGAAGCCCCAAGCCCCCCCCCCGGGGGGGCCAGCCCACGCCCCAGATGCTTGAATGCAGCTGAGCTGCCTCCGGGACACGGGGAGTCAGGGCTCATCTGGCTGCCCACGCAGGGCGCTGGGCCAGGCCCCCATAGGTGCCGGCACTCGGGAGCAAAGATGCCCTCTGGCCACAGGATGAGCTGTCAGCTGCAGAGGTGCCCTGGGAAGACATGAGGCAGGACTCTGAACACAGCCCTGGCCTACAGCCACCCACGCAGAATGGCAGGGGCCGAGTCATCCAGAAGCAGGTCTGTGAAACCGTGTGGGGGATGCTAAAAATCAGGCAGAGCCTCACCCAAAGCCCCACCCTGAAGCTGTTTACATTCAGAAATTAGTAAACTGATCAATAAATACGTGCATACTGATGGCCTCCTGCATGTGCAACACCGTTGCAGACACAGCAAAGAAAACCGGCAAGGGACAGACACAGCCCAGCCCTGCACCCGCTCGCAGTTTCAGATTGTCACCGAACTTCACTTGCGTGTCCTCCCAGCATTTACTAAATGCGCTCCATGTGCCAGATGGGGAGATTTTAAAGACTGAAGTTCCTGTCCCAGATATAAATTATGAGCAAGGTGCTCTGGGCGTGACTCATTTAGCCTCAGAATGTTCTAGAAGGCTGGGGAGCCTCCTGGGGGGGAATGAAATGTAGAAGGAGAGAACGGGGCAAAGAGAACCTATTATTTGCCAGTTCTCTTGAAGGCGTTAGAGTTTGCCTCTGGGGACAGGATTGTGTCCCTCGGAAATTCACGGGTGCTTAGCAGCTCTGGCGAAAGACAGCACCTAGGTCCCCAGTCCTCCACGCGCTGAACTCACGCATGCAGTATTTAGGACACGGGTGCTGCCTAGGAGGCGGGCAGAGCCACTGACGGTGAGCGGCCTATCGGCACAGCTGTGAGCTAAGGAATCACCTCCTCCCCTCCTGACAAGCAGCCCCTACGGGAAGTCACGCTGACCCCAGCGAACAGCACAGCTGCGACTTTAAGGCGCCTTCCCCCAGCGTCCAGCCCTGCGGACGGGGAGCCAGGCAGGGCAGGGAAGGAAAAGGCTTCCAGCCTGAGGGCTTCTCAGCTCTCTGAAGCCACCAACCAGCCTGGCACCCCACTCTTCCTCCTTGAGCAGGCCCCCCTTTTCTCTGCCCAGCAGAGCCAGCAACTAGCGAGGGGCGGAGACGAGCCAGCTCACCCTCGCCCACGGCTCGGCCCCACCCTCCCTCCTTCCCCAATGAGTCACTGAGGCTGCAACGGCTCCAGACATGCAAAGGGTCACGCCTAAAAACCCATCGACAAAGTGACAAAGTGCTTCGTTGGCCAGAGCCCCGGGGCCAGAGGGGCAATCAGCTTCCCTCAGGATGGAGCCCCAGGCCAGGAGTCCCCAAAAGCACAGCTCGGAGGCTCCGGAGGGACTTGCTACGCGCCTCAAGCCAAGCAGCTCAGAAGGAGGGGAGAGAGCCATCGTGAGCGGTGAAGGGTCCACAGCCCGTGAGAACAGGAGCCGTGGGACCGGGGGCTGCAGGTTGGCCCCGGCAGGGCACCCCCCTGGATTCCTGGACGGGAGGGGCTGCCAACCACCCTCCTGCCCCAGCCCAGGGCTCTCCTTCTAGCGCAGCCAGGAGCAACTCCCCTCCCGTCTCCTCTGCTCTGGGCCACTGAGGTGGCAGCACATGGGGGTGCTACTGGGGGACTCGAGACCACGGTGGGAAGGGTCTGTTTACTGCATCTGAGTCCCGGCGCTCAGTCTCTCCCACATCTTTGGAGCCTGTACCAAGGCCAGATGGGCCCTTCTTCTCCTACGTAAGTCAGGTGACGCCAGGCTTCCCCAGGGCCTGAGGGTCCTGCCCTGTGGCGACCCAAAGGAGGGTCTTTGGAACTGCGGGGAATTCTGCACATTCAGCCCAAGTGTCATAAGTCTTTGGAGCTAGAGGACACCTTATAGCCATGCTGTCAACATGGTAGCTATATGTGGCTATTTAAATGTATACTGATTTAAATTAAGTTAAATTGAATTGTTAGTTTATTGCTTGCAGTAGCCACATTTCAAGAGCTCAACAATCACATAAGGGCTACCATATTAGACAGGGCAGATGCAGAACATTTCCACCACTGCAGAAAGCCCTGCGGGACTGCACTGTCCGGTATTTACAGATGGGGAAGGCGAGGCCCAGAGAGGTGAGGACAGGAGTGTCGGGGTCCCAGAACCCTGGTCTGCCACCTCCCCACCCCGAGGTCCACCTGGCCCTGGCTCACAGTGTCCTTTATGATGGGAGGGGCTGGAGTGGGGACCCTCTAGGCAGAGGGCTGCTTAGAGGGCCGAGAAAGAGCGAGATGGTATGTCCACTCCACCTGTGAGGCTGAGACTGTGGGGACACCATAACTCAGGCCAGAAGCAGCGAGAGAAGAACAAAGCTGTGCCAACAATTCAAAACTGCAAAGAGGGGGCGCCTGGGTGGCTCAGTCGGTTAAGCATCTGCCTTTGGCTCAGGTCATGATCCCAGGGTCCTGGGATCGAGCCCCCCATTGGGCTCCTTGCTCAGCGGGAAGTCTACTTCTCCCTCTCCCTCTGCCCCGCCCCCTGCTCCCGAACACTCTCTCTCTCAAATAAATAAATAAAAATTTTTTAAAAGCCTTCAAAGAGGAATGTGCAGACCAGGGGGCCGGGGGGGGGGGGGTTGACATGCGGACAGATCCGGGAAGCAGACTCCTTGCCCAGGGCAGAGGGTCTCCGCCAGGGGTGGCGTCCAGAGGAGCATCTTTCCCACCCTGCCCTTAGGGAACAGAGCCCCTTCGTCCCCCAAGAGCGAGTATGAAGTCAGCCAGGGAGGGGGCCCAGCCTAACCACTGCTGCAGCCAAAAACAGCCTCGCAGCCAGCGTCAGGGTCAAGATGACAGGAACTGATAGAGGCCCAGTGCCCGAGAGACATGCCCGTGGGCCTCCATGCCTCCGTGCGCCAAACCTGAAGCTACATACCAGAGGGACACAAGTGTGATCACATGCCCAGCACGGGACGGACACGGGAGGTGAGGCTCCACAGGAGAGAGAAGCGCTCCCACCCACTGCGGAGACGGCACCAACAGCAGTGGGACTTGGACCCAGCGCAATGGCAGGTACGGGAGGGATCAGACCCACCATACACACAAGCCAGGGAGAAGCACCTCCCGAGCCCAGGAAGAATGAAATGACTCACACCCCAGGTAGAGACCTCCACCAGAGGGGAAGTCCCGAACACTTAAAACAGGATGAGCAGCTAGGATATTCAAAGAAAAGGGAGACACACCCAGAGGGGCAATCCACTCTCATAAACACCAGATAGCAAAGAGGAAGAGAAAGCTCTGCGTTGAGAGAAAACCCCCAACAGATTGAGAAAAAGAGAATTCTGCCGAGCTCCTGTGGCGTGCTGTACTTCCAGGCCTGGGGGCTCATTCGATCCCAGACAACCCTCCGTGATGAATAATTAATGTCCTTATTTTAGAGATGCAGCAGCAGGCCTCCAGAGGTAAGATGACTTGCCCAAGTATGAGCGAGGGTCTGAGATGTAAGCCCGGGCTTCCAGGACTCTGTGGCCCCAAAGCAAACAGCTTTTACCTCGGTGGAGGAATGAAGGCGCAAATAAATACACACAGGATGAGAAACCACAGAGAAAGATGCACAAGGGAGATACACAGAAGAGAGACCTGCACTGGAGGAGGGCCAGAGAGACACCCATGGGAAGATGAAGGGGCCTCCATGCTCACCTAGAGGGAGACCTGGTGCGGGGGGAGGCCTCAGCGAGAGGGGCTGAGATTCCCCTAGGGGACCCAGAGACCCAGGGAGCGCAGGAGACTCGCCCAGAGAGCCTGACGCCGTTCAAGCGCCACAAGCCGCAGGATGGAGGGCCAGGGCCCACAGTGTCCTGTGCCCACACACCAGCCACTTCCTGGCCAACAGCTTGGGGACAGCAGACCCGGACGGGCAGAGTCCCGGGCATCCCGGGAGCCAGGATCTGAGGGGCTCGTTGAGGCCATGTCCCCAGGAGTCAGAAATCCTGAGCCACACAGACCCCCAGCTCACCTGTACACTCTCTGGGGCCCCAGCAGGTGAAGGCCAAGAGAGTCGTCCCCTCTGGGGCTTGGGGGACACGAGACCCACTCCAGAGAAAAGCACCAGGAGGGCAAGGCAGCTACTTCTGCTCACTGGGAAACGGGAACAACCACAACAGGGCTGACGCTCATCCCACACAGGGCAGGCATGGCTTCCGGGGCCCAGGCCCCCAAACGGACCTCCATGGAGGCGGCTGCCAGAGCTCTGTCTGGAAAACAGCATGCCCTATTCTAACTGGGGGAGAAGAGCACGATAATCTCAAGAGTCTAAGCCGGCATCGAGAACGTTTACACTCCGTTCATCCTGGGGGGTGCAGCCCAAGGGGGCCTGTTGTGTGTTGGGGGGAGGGTGGGATTATCAGGGAGAATACGACTAACATGCTGTAAGACACAGGCCATCTGGGCACTGGAGAGACATTCCCAGAAAGACACACAAGGACACGCACACTCCGCGTGCACACAGACATGCTCATCAGCCCCGTTCCCCACTCTTCCCAGCCCTGAGCAGGCCCACAGCCCCGCCTTCCCCAGCCCCCAACAGACACCTGTCCAGGCAGCCCCAGGCCCTGCCCATTATGGAAGGCACCTCTACCTGCCAACCCGGTGCCCGGAGTCTGTGTCTCCCTCTACCTGTGTGCCCCTATCTCCTTGTTCTCTGGCTACCTGGGCCACTGGCCCAGCCCACAGCTCCCACCAGCAGGAAGTTCCTCCAGCTGGGTCACTCCAGCCCTCTCCTCCTGGTCAGCCCCAGCAGGGCCCCCCCAACCTCAACGTCCAGGGGAGCCCCGCTCGCTCCTACCCCTCGGGCCTGCTGGGTCCCTCCCTTATACCTTTCTCCACCTCTCTCCCCTGGCCCTCTGTGCACAGCTTCCTCCCACCCCCAGCGAGCTCCAAGTTCTCACTTCCAGCAGGGAGGGAGATTCCCTCTTCCTTCCATGACCGAGAGGGACTCCCCTCCTCCCTGCCACAGGGGATGGGGGCAGCAGCCCATTATCCAGCCCCAAGTCCCTGCCTCTGGCCGCATAGCCCGGGAAGAGAGAGCCTTTACCCAGGACCACGGGGACTAAGACACCAGCTCTGAGGGTGGCACCCTCCACGGGGCAGGGGCAGTGAAGAGGAACACTCCGTCTCACCCCGGGGGGGAAGGTGACAGCCCGGGAGCTGCCAGGGGGTGCAGAAACTCCCCAAGCAACAGGCAAGCTCCCCGCCCAGCGGTCAGGCCCCGCAAGTGCAAGGGCGCAGGGCCAGGCCCCGAGGCTCAGCCGCCAAAGAGCCGCCCCCCAGCCCAGCTGGGACACGAAGCCGGGATCAGCTCCAGGCACTTCCCCTTCCCCTAGAACCTCCGCTCTGGCCCCCAGGGACAGGGCAGGATGCCCCTCCCTGACCAGCCGTATGCAGCGCCTCACTCAGCCGGGGCTTCATTTCCAGAGCTATCCTCCCCCTCCCGAGGGCCTGTGGGCCCCGAAGCCGTCCAGGATGCAGAAACTGACTCTAGTCCTTACCTGCAGCCCCTGTGAAACCTCCACCGCCAGGGCAGAGTCCCACTTCTGTCTCCTGCCCCGTAAGCCCCAGATGCAAGCAGAGTGTCACATCCAGGACCACCATGCTCAGCCAGAAGACCATCCTCCCACAGGGAGTAAGACACACCTCACCGCTATGACACCAGTGGTCACAGGGACGCAAGGCCACCGTGAAACGGCGCCGCCTGGACACAAGCAAGACCCGCAGCTACAACAGCCCAGGCCTCCTCCTGGGGGGACCTGAGGGGCTCTGTCAGAACTCCTGCGCACACACACATTCCTGCTGAGCCCCACTGTGGCCCACCCACGCAGGCCCCCACCCCCGAGCCCCGGCCACCACGCACGGAAGAAACTGAGCTTGCCCAGGAAGGCCTGGGAGCCCAGCGGGATGGTCAGGGACCAGGGCTATGCCAGCTCCCGGCGAGCCTGGATGAAGCCCGTGGGGGCCGAAGAGAAAGCAGAAGGCCCTAGACATAGGCCGCCGCCACCACCTGATTGAAACCAGCACATTCTAGACCTTCTCCAGCAGCCACCTCCCTTCCTGTCCTCAGGCACAGGCAGAGGGTCAGCCCAGCTCCAGGGAGAGAAACTTGGGGGCGTTGGGGAGTGGTGGGGGGGGGGAGTGGGGAAGAGCCAGCAGTGGGAGAGTTCCCATCAAGAGCAGGACTAGCTCTCCTGGTATGCCTCTGTCTGTCCCCAGGCGGTTCCCAAGTTCTGAGGAAGGTGGTGGCCACACTCCAGAGCCCCACACACCCCTCCACCCCCACAGCTTTGCCCCAACCTCTCAAACCAGCTCCTCAGGCTCTGGGCAGTGTGCTCCACCAGCGCCAGCCAGCTATTTCCAAACTAAGCCAAAGAATCTAGGCTGGCAATGCCTGGGGCAGCTCCACCCAGGGCCTCCCTGGGACTCAGGTGACCCCGGAGACCCCCAGCCCATTCCCTGCCCTTGTCCGCTGCTAGCCTTCTCCCTCCTCCAGTCTTCCGTGGTTTCCTCTCTCAGGTGCACCCTGGGCCCTGGACTGTAGCCTCACCACCCTGAACCAAGTCTGGCTGGTACAAGTCCCCAGCTCTGTGGGGTTAGCTCTTCAAGGGGCTGCCCAAACCAGGACCCCTGAATCACTGCTAAGGGCCTCCCTGTCACCAGCACAAAGCCCCGCCTGACTTACGTGGCGCCCTATGTGTCCTTGCTCGATGACCAATGTTCCTGCCTATAGTCTCTTCAGGAAAAGGCTTTAGAGAGGGGCTTAGACACCCTCCAAGCCCCATTTTGAAGCTTGCAGACCCTGTGTCCTATGCTAGCCCAGCTCTCATGGTCCCAGGTCCTCTCCCTCCCTGCCCCACCCCACCTCCTTCATACGGCAGCTCACAGCTCGGAGCAAGGAGGTACCCCCAAACCTGGGGCGCCCTTTTACTCCCCATTCTGCACACTCTACCTACCATGTGCTGGCCCAACCCATCATCCCTTTGGGTCAAGGAGAAGGAAGCCTCCCCATTCCGCTTGGGAAAGGAAGTGAGTGCCACACCCTGCCCCAGGGATTTCCCTCCTGGCAGGACAGAGGAAGAGAGGGAAAAGAAAGCAGAATCTGCCCTGCCCCCTACTTTAGACGCAGCATAGGTACAGAGGCCTGGAAATGCCTTCCAAAGCACCTTCAATCCCTTCCTCTCCCCACACCCCCCACCCACCCCCGGCCAGCCTCCACCTATCACTACAGCCCCCACAATGTCACTAGGTCCCATAACACCAATCCAGTCCCCACCAATGCTGGACTGTGCAAGGAAGGGCAGCGGATCCCTGCCTTCGGAGGCTGGACTCTAACTGAGAAAACTATTTCAAAAGCAATTATTGGGAGCCCAGCGCCGTGCTGGGGACACAGAGGTAAATATCCGAGACCTTTTTTCTCCCAAACTCCAGGTCATTCTCTAAGGACCCCACTACAGGGGATGGTCCCACTCTGCCTTTCCATAAACGCACTGCACAGAGCGGGGCTGTCAGCAGGACACCGCGGGCTCCCTGGGGCCACCACCGCTCTGCAGCCACACCCAGTGAAAGGCGAGAGCACACACCACGCACACCATTCTCTGTGGCCACATTGTGCAAAGGCGCCAGGGCCGTCCCCCACCTGGTGGGAGTGGTGGGCAGCTAGAGCTGTGAGTTGCCCCGTCTGCCCGCTCGGCTCCCCTCCCACGCAAGGGGCACAGCCAGGCCTGCTCAGACCCCACGTGTCCCTCGCGGCCAGCACCGCCCAGGGCTGCGCCCCCCGCACCCCGGGCCCGGGCACTGCAGGGGGCGCCCAGGCCAGCCAGGGGAGGGCCAGGCCCTCCCACGCTGCACTCCCGCTCCCCGCATGGGAAAGCCTTACATAACACGGCGCTCCGAACACACCCTAAGCACCCTGCCTTTCCAACTCCAGGGCAGGACCTCGTTCCCCCAACCCTGTCTCCTGGAGCGCGCGGCTGGAGCGGAGGGTTCCCGAGACGGCAGCTAAGCCCGCCTCCTACAGCGGAGCCGCCTCCTGCCCCCACGTCCCACACACAGCCCCTTCCTCCCCCTCCCCTTTGCCCCTCACCACTCCTCCCGGAGTTCTGGTTTGAATTAGTCAGCGACTCCAACCACCACATTCCTCAGGCTGCTGGCGCCGTGCCAGGCGCTGGGGCGGGGGCCATCCCGCCCGGACGGGTTTGGGAGGGGGGGGAGAGCGCGCCGCCCCCGAAAGGGAAGGGGCGGTGCCGAGGGCCGGGCCGCCGCACAGTACCCCCCCCCTCCCCGCCCACCCCCCGCGCTGGAATCTCCCTAATTACGCCCCCCACCCCCACTCCCACCCGTCCCGCCCCGAGGCGCGCTGCAAACTTCAGGCAGCGCGGCCTTGGAGGAAGAAGGGAGACTTCTGAAGCGGGGAACGCGGAGGGGCCAGATTAGGGCGGGGCAGCAGGAGGGGGGCTGAGAACGGGAGAGGCTGGTGGTACCGAACTGGGTGGGGCCGGGAGGACTCCGGACGCACAGTTAGAGGCGGAGGTGTGGGGAGCGGGGAGGGACAGCGGAGGGGGCGCGGGGGTGGGGGGGCTCCGGGAGGGGCCGAGGGGCAGCGGCGGCGACCTCGGAAACTTCTCCAGTAAACACGGAATAGGAGCGGGAGCAGAGCGCTTGAGCCACCGCCCCAAGGAGAAGGAGGGGATGGGACAGGGACCCACGGGGGCCCCCAGGCCAGCAACGGGGCGCCCTGCCGCGCAACAGAACCAACAGTCAGCCCTCGAGAGAAATAAGGACTGGAGCAAAACACGCTTCGGAACGATTTTCCAACTTTGCCCAACTTGCGCCCCAACTCCGGAGGGAGGCACAGTTTGGCTCCCAGGGCGCGACGCGTCGCCTCCCCGCGCGGCCCCGGGCCGCCCCGCTTGCTCCACGCTGGTTGAATCCTCGCAGTGCGCCCGGCCCAAGCGCCTCGCCCAAGCCCTGCAGCCCCCCTCCCCTCACCGGTTCTCCGAGTCCTGCTCCCGCGGCGCCCCGGTGCGCCCGGTGCCCCTACCTGCGCGCTCAGCCCCCGGGCACAGCCGTAGCCCGCGCGGGGCCCCAGGTCGCGGTGCTGCGGCTGCTGCAGGCGGCGAGCCCCGGTCGGGGCGGGTCCGGCAGGGCGGGCGGTGCAGTCCCCGCGGCGGAGCTGCTCCGAGTGGCCGGGCCCCCGCGCGCGGAGGCAGCTCTTGTAACTCCGGCTCGGGCGGGCGGGTCTGCCCCGAGCAGCGAGGAGAGGGCGGGGCCGGGCGGGGCCGGAGCGGGGCTGGGACTGGCGAGCGGGCCGACCCGACACGGACCCGGGAGCGGGCTGCTGGGGGGGTTGGGCACTGGGGGTCGCGGGGACGAGGGGGCGCCGCGCGTCCGAGGGGCTGCCTTCCCCCGCCCCGCTCCAGTGCCCCCTGCCCTGGCCCGCGCCTGGATCTACCCCCCAACGTTTTCAGTGTGTGGTCTCCCCGACAAGAAACTCCCCGAAGCTCCCTGAGGCTCATCCTCGCAGCTGGAACTGCGAATCAGCTCATTTTGCAAGAAGGACCAAGAAGTTCAGAAAGCCGCTGGGGGGCTTGGGTGCTGGGGCCGCGACCTTTAAGTTTTCTCTCAACCCAGGCATCTACACTTCAAATCCCAGGCCCCAGGCTCCTCACTTGGTTCCCAAGCTTCCTGCAGCCGCGCCCATTTCTCGCCTCCCCCCTTTCGGAGGGCCCCCCCAATCCCTCCCCCCCAAAACCGGTCTGTAGACGCTGGTCCCACCCCTGGAGTTAGGGTGCCCACGTGGAGTCACCAGTGCCCCACGCACCACGGTGCAGCTCCCGCCGCTGCAGCGACACGGGAGTCAGGCCGGCCGCCCTTGGCGGAGCAGAGCCGGAGGCCCACCTTCCTCTGAGGACTCCGGAGGGAAGCGGGAGCTCCAGCCTTGCCTCCACCTACCCACTTCTTATGCGAGCGCCTCCCCCACCTCCCCACTTGCAAGGACGCTATTTCCAAATTTACTGCCATTTCCCACAGCTACTTCTAACTCCATGAGATTTTATTAACCGTTTAATGATGGGGTGCGGGGGGGCCTTCTGACTACCCAGGCCCCCCTTCCACACTCCCATTCTCTTCTCCCCCACGAATCCTCTTATCCTCCCTCCTAGGTGGCCACCCACTACCCACATCAAGGCAGTTTTCCTTCCTTCCCAAATGCTGAGGAAGGAAGACCCCAGGCTGGGGCCCAGAGAAGACCTGGCTCCAGGCAGGAGCACCCTCCTCACAGCAAGATCATGAGTGGGCTGGGGCTGAGACCTGCGGCCCTGTCCTCTGAAATGGCAAACATGTTTACAAGCTAAAAATACCCAGCAGTCAACTCTGCTGCCAGCCCTGGGGGCTGTGTCCCAGGTCCAGTTACCAGCACAGGCCATGGGGGAGGGAAGACACGGCCAAGGAGCCTTCGCTGTGCATAGACTCACACAATGGACGCGGAGAGGTGGAGACACATGTGTAGACATTCAGACAGGTATAGACATGCAAAGACAGACAAAGCAGAGACTTGGGCACCAGCATTCTCTCTCTGTCTCTCTCTCTCACTCTGTCTCTCTCACTTGCTCCGGTGTGCAAGTGCGTTCTCTCCCCCCCACACACACACCGCACCCCCCACCTCTCTCTCTATCTCTCTCTCTCTCTCTCTCTCTCACACACACACACACACACACAGGCACCCAGATAGGGACTCAAACCCACGGCAGAGGCAATGGCAGGCACACACATCACAAACCCAGGCTTTCGAAAGAAGCACCTCCTCCACTGTGTTCTGTACCCCTTTTCTAGAACCTTATTAAAGAAAACATCTAGGGCGCCTGGGTGGCTCAGTGAGTTAAGCGTCTGCCTTCAGCTCAGGTCATGATCCCAGGGTCCTGGGATCGAGTCCCGCATTGGGCTCCCTGCTCAGCGGGGAGTCGGCTTCTCCCTCTGCCCCTCCCCCCTGCTCATGCTCTCTCTCCCTCAAATAAATAAATAAAGTGTTTAAAAAGAAAACATCTAAACTTTTCAACTTTGGAATGCTTTTTAAAAACAAATGCCGAGGGGCACCTGGGTGGCTCAGGCGTTAAGCATCTGCCTTCGGCTAAGGTCATGATCCCAGGTCCTGGGATCGAGCCCCGCATCCGGCTCCCTGCTCCACGGGAGGCCTGCTTCTCCCTCTCCCACTCCCCCTGCTTGTGTTCCCTCTCTCACTGTGTCTCTCTCTGTCAAATAAATAAATAAAATCTTAAAAAAAAAAATACCGAGAGCTCATTTCTCCCTTTACTAATGGCTTTTTAATTCTTAATTTCATTTTCAATGACATTTATTCAGCTTTTAACAAATGCAGCAAGAATACAGAGAAACTAAAGGGGCCTGTCATGCTGCGTGTGAGTCAGATAATCCCTGTTGACATTTTTTAAATAAAATCAATGCCTCCACCTGCTGAAGAATGTAAACAATGCAGAAAGGTAGAACAATAAAAAGTAAATGTCTCCCTCCTCCCCTACCCAATCCCTCTCCCCAAAAGTAACCACTGTTAACAGTTGACGGAAGGATTTTTAACTTTATGAATCACCTGTTTCCTTGAAAGTGCACATTTTCCCGGGACATATTTAAAAGGGGAGTGGATTTACACCTAGGTTTTTGGAAACATTGATGATGCGCCACAGAGACATAGGGGAGCTGCAGAAAGTTGATGGGAGTTTGGAGGGAGGGGCTGGAGCAGCGGGAAAGGACCAGTGGGGGAGGGTATGGATGTCGTACCCTCCCCGCTGCATGGGCTCTGTCAGCCCCCCGTGAGTGTAAGAGCAGAGGCTAGTGTCCTGGGCTCAAGGCCAACTTATCTGCTCCACTGTTTGTTCTGGCCACCCTCTTGGTCAACAGAAAAAAAGGCAGGAGAGGCTGGCTTGGGGAGCAGCTATGGGGTAGGGATTACTGTCCAGGTCCTTCATTCAGAGGTAGGAGTGTCATACCTGGTGGCGGGTGGTCCTGGAGACTGGCTCCTGCCCCATTGAGAGCTAGGAGAGGAGAGGAGGAGTAACCTAGACCCTTGCCCCGAAAACACACACACACACACACACACAACCCGCAATACGGATACCCACTGGAATGGGGAGCTGGGCTTTCCTAGGTCAGCCTCCTCGGCCCAGGGGAACGGAATATATTCAGCAATTTTCTTTTCTTTTTTTTTTTTTTTAAGATTTTATTTATTTATTTGACAGAGACACAGCGAGAGAGGGAACACAAGCAGGTGGAGGGAGAGGGAGAAGCAGGCTCCCCGCTGAGCAGGGAGCCCAATGCAGGGCTCGATCCCAGGACCCTGGGATCATGACCTGAGCTGAAGGCAGATGCTTAACGACTGAGCCACCCAGGCGCCCTGATTCAACAATTTTCAATGGTGTAAGTGGAAACACACACTCTTTTGGAAATGTCTGCCAACCCTTCTCCTGCCCACTGCTGTAGCCCCCCCACCCCTCAGCCCCCAAAGCTACTACCGGAATGGTGATTGTGTCTCAGGCCACAGCAGGTACTATCATGTGTTAGATCATTTAATTCTCACATGCTCTGGGAGGAAATGGTCTCAGAAAGGGTTAGTGATTCACCTAAAGGCACACAGCCCTCAGAAGCAGGAGTCAAAACTCCCCCTGCCATCTAGGCTCCATGAGAGTGGGGATTTTCTTTTTTTTTTTTTTTAAAGATTTTCTTTATTTATTTGAGAGAGAGCACATGAGAGGGGGGAGGGTCAGAGGGAGAAGCAGACTCCCTGCCGAGCAGGGAGCCCGATGCGGGACTCGATCCAGGGACTCCAGGATCATGACCTGAGCCGAAGGCAGTCGCTTAACCAACTGAGCCACCCAGGCGCCCGAGAGTGGGGATTTTCTTGTTCTTTGTTGTCTGCCCTGTGCCTAGAGTAGTGGCTGGCATATAGCAATGGCTGAAGAAGTTTGTGGAATGAATGAATGAATGAATGAATGAATGAATGAATGAATGAATGAATGAACGAATGAACTACAGGGATAACTGGCCCCAAAGCCCGTGTCTTTCTCACAACAGCATCCTGAACCCCACACTTCCTTTTACTCTCAGCCTCCAGGGAGCAATTCCCCCACTTATCGGCCTCTCATGCCGCCGCACAAACATTTATTGTGTGTGCAACACCAGGCCGGGGGCCTCTGCTGCTGGTGCTGGTGGTGCAGGGGATAAAGAGCCCGACAGGATGGGGCGCCTGGGTGGCTCAGTCAATTAAGCGGCTGCCTTCGGCTCAGATCCTGATCCCAGGGTCCTGGGATTGAGTCCCGCGTCAAGTCCCACATCGGGCTCCCTGCTCAGCGGGGAGCCTGCTTCTCCCCCTGCTTGTGTTCCCTCTCTCTGTCAAATAAATAAATCTTTAAAAAAAGAAAAAGGAGGGCACCTGGGTGGCTCAGTTGGTTGGGCGACTGCCTTCGGCTCGGGTCATGATCCTGGAGTCCCGGGATCGAGTCCCGCATCGGGCTCCCTGCTCAGCAGGGAGTCTGCTTCTCCCTCTGACCTTCCTCCTTCTCATGCTCTCTGTCTCTCATTCTCTCTGTCTCTCAAATAAATAAATAAAATCTTAAAAATAAAAATAAAATAAATTAAAAAAAGAAAAAAAGAAAAAGGAAAGAAAGAAAAAAAGAACCTGACAGGATGGAACCCCTGCCCTCACAGTGCTCCGTCCTGAAGGAAATGTATTCTGAGCTCCTTGCAGGTCCTATGCGTTGAAAATGGGACATTATCTTTTCTGCCAGGTCCTTTACACTGATACCTCACTCCCCCAACATACACTCACGGATACACACACTGTTTTTTTAATTATAAGGATCTCCCCCCCGTCCACCGTCTCAACTGTGCAAAGAAAACCTTTCTCTTTTTGAAGGTTTCAGATGCCTCTGTCAAAATAAGGGCTGGGGCGGGGCAGGGGGGGGGTGTTCCAGGAAGACTTCAGGCCTCCTGCTGGCACGCACGCCCTCACCTTTCCAAGGTATCCGACCTCACAGGCCTGCGGATTCTTTGGCAAAGCTACGTGAGTCCTAGGACTCGTCATCACTGGGATACCCCAGCTTCCCCAGAAGTTTTGCTCCCTCCCCCCGCCCTCTGCCCCCCCCCCCCCCCCCCGCACCGGAGGTTCCCTGATATTCATACGCATAGTGTGTGTGATGAACCTGG